ACGTATATAAGGGTTTACGCAGACTGCATATACATGATATTCTAGGTGGTGTGGGGACCAAAGGCTTTCAGGCAGTGCTGTGGAATAGAAGGGTTCTTTCGGACTAATGGAGTCAAATTTAAGGGGATTCTTTCCGACGAAAGCCAAATCGGTAGATCTTTGGGGGGGGGGAAGCATATATATATATATACATACAGAGCGATAGAGCGAGAGAGAGAGAGAGACAGAATGCACGCTCGTCCTTCCCGCAGTTGCATCATTGCCACCGGCTACCCAGGTATGGGTGATATGTTTTGGCCAGATGGCCGTGCATATCATGGCTCCTACGACTCTTGGCTGGCAGCTGGCAGCGGGTGGTAGTCGGCACTCGAGTTGGCACTGTCAGAAACCCCGTAGACGTGATGCTGGTTTTGGACTGCGGGCAACTTTCTGATCTTTGCAAAAGACAGTCATTGTTTGCTTGATGCTCCTGCTCTCCGTTAGGCAGCAGACAAGAAGCACGGAGAGGGCTGCTACTTGTGGCAAGACGGTCGCCAATACAGTGGCCAATGGAAGGACTACCGTGTTTTGGGGGCGCAGGATTTTCTCCTGATATGTTGCGTAGAGAAGCTCGTACTGCCCAGATGACCTGACTCATTACCATGACCCCTCACCTGCATGGAATCTCTTTCGCATGACCCATGATACGTCATTGGGATGCAATAACAGTCTTGGTGCTGGAGCCCGGAGCATCCCCGGAACACTGCGATGGTAGAAGAGGCTGGTTTGCTCCGTCCTGCTTGTAGTGGTACCTTTATTACGAGTCCGAATAGGATCAATGTATGCTCCAGGCAGGCATGCCCCTGCACTCAAACCGAAGTTGCTGGATTCGTTCAGCCGAGTCATCAGAACCTACGTTTTTTGTATACCAGTAGCGCAAGTTCGGCAGTCTTGACAAGCTTGCAGGAAGGAAAGCAGCATGGATTTGGCAGGTACTTGACACTTGGCCGCTGCAACGTTTCGGAGCACACTTGACGGGGTTCGTTGTGCTGGCTTCGGGACATTTCGGGACGCTAGGCATCCCCGTGACGAAGCTTAGCAGCTTTACTTGCAGCAGGTTCAGGAGTTGCCAAGCTCTCCTAAAAAGGTTGAGTTGCCTTGCCTGTTTGATCCTTGTCGAAGAGCTCAGGAACGTCGATGGGAAGGCCTGGGCGGATGGAGATCAGCTGCAGATGCCAGATGCCACACAACGTGGTTTAGCAAGTGGACAGTGGAAACATACTAACAACCAATATATGTAGTGCAATCAAAATACACACTCGCACATACAGGGTATGTGCGTGTGTGTGTGTGTGTGTTGCAATGTACCGTACTGTAGTGTAATGTAATGTCATGTCATGTAATGTATCATAATGTATGCATGTATGTGTATAATCTTTCACCCAGACTTCGGTGCACATGTCGCTGCCAGACAGAAACTCCTTCTGCCCCGCGCCAAATCGTGGTCAGGCTCGAGAGGGCGTCTGGCAGCACGGGCAGCGCCTCAAATGGCTTGGAGGAGAGCTTTACCATGTCGAACTAGATCTGTGTGGTTCGTGCATGCAAATGGCACGTGTAGGAGCTCCCTTAGACATATATATATATATATACACATGAATCCGGACAAGGCGGTACTGCACCACAGAGGTCGCGTTGCAGCAGACTCCATGCTTTGAAAGATGTTTTGTTACTTGCTCCGCGGGCCTCACGAGACTAAAGGACCGTGTGATCATCAAATATCTCCTACTTGTGGGGGAATTTACTTCATCCTGTTAATCTGCCGGCCATCCTTTTTCTTTAATACTTCTTTCGACCGTCGCAGCATGAAGAGAGAAGAGTTCGCACCACAGCACAACTCGGGGGCGTGCACAGAGGCCACTTGTAGCACGTTCACGGAGATACCCCCGAGGAACACAGAAAGCACAGATGTTCGAAGGAGAGCGCGATCCTCGAGATTCCGACGCGTTCATTGAGAAGAAGGCTACTCAGGTCTGAAGCTTTTCGAGGATGTTTTTCGGTGGGTGACCTGAGCCGGTGCATGTTTAGAGCCATACTGTAACCGATGGGTCTGCAGAAACCTGGCTAGACACATGGTTGAAGAAGCGTTCGCAACACCTGAGGCCGCCCAAGTCGACCTTAGGTGTTTGTGCTCCGTTGGTTCCAGCTCCTTTGCCTGAAACGTGGGCGGAGCTCTGGCCTGGTGCTGAAGACGCGAACTAGGTCGAAAATGCGAAGGATTCCGAAGGAAAGCCGATTCTACGGTGCACACTGGCCGCAAAGCATGTGAATCTAGCAACCGGTTTGTCTTGCAATCGCATGATCTCCACATTGCCAGCCATTTCAGCTGTGACACATAATCGGCCAATCCTTCATTCTCTGTCATTGAGCTCTGCTGTGCCCCGGCTGTGGGCTGAGCAGAAAGTCACACGCTCGCAGCTGCACGACAAAACCGACCGGCCGGGTGAGCTTTGCATGAAGTGGTCAGGGCTAAGCACGAGCTGTGCCAGCATCAGCGGCAGAGGCATTAGAGACTTATACCGCTGCAGTCGGTGATGAAGTCAAGACGCAGATAAGCTCCCAACTGGGAACCTGTCACATATGATCATGCGACCCGCGAATCCACGGGTCGAACTAGATGGCACATGCAACTTCAGGATCTTTCTGTGGCTCAAGTTCCATTCCGATACAAGAAATTCTGCGGCTCGCACTTGTCAGCACTTGGGGAAGATGTCTAATTTGCCTGCTTTCTTTCACTTTGGAGCGTTGGGCCCTGGGCATAACAAAAAATATCCTAGGCGCCCTGCCTTTGCATCTTCGTGACAAGCCGGGTGTCTCACAAAGCTTTGGATCTGAAAGCCGATTGACCAGCGCACAAAACGTTGATTCTGGCACTCACGGTCACTCAGTGGGCTGTCCCTGCTTGATTGCCTTCCGATGCATGATGCAACTGTGCTGTGACGGCTGCCGTCGGCCCAGGCAGTTCTAGCCTATTTGCACGGCTGTGTTCGTAGGGACGGGTGACGGACTCGAAGGTAGTCTCCTCGCCTGCTTCCAGCCATGGCCGGATTCATGGGTAGTCCAGAAGGAGACGAGACCAAATCGCTCCTTGAAAAAGTACAGACCAAAGATGATTTTCACACCAAGCGGTGGCGTTGCCTATCGCACCCAACACGTGCCTTGGAGACGTTGTCACCAGTAGCAATCCTTGAGATTGGCATCTTGAATGCACGTGATCTCGCAGAGAGAGAAAGTGGCTACTGGCGATCGGCGGACACAACTGCCGACTCCTTCGTGCAAGTCGTGTTGGACGATCAGGAACTCGAGAAGTGCATCACTCCAGTTGCGAGGGCCAAAAAGCAGCCCATGTGGCTCTATCATTGCGAGGTGGACATCCTTGCTCCCATGTCTATGATTCGCTTGCAGGTCTTTGATGACCAGCCAACCGAAAAGGTCCAAATCGGCTTCATTGACATTTGTGTGGGGGACATTCCGTATGACAAGACCATTGAGGGATGGTTTGAGCTGCGCTTCCAGGACCTGGAACTTGGGTTTCTAAGTTGGCCTAGAAAGAGTCTAAATTGCCCCTTCTCGGTGAGATAGGGCTAGAAGCTGCAAAGGGGCCTCATGCTTGTCGCAGGACAATTTTCAGTCGACGAGCATGGATCGCTACAACCACCACTGCATGATACGAGAGGAGGAAGTCAGCCAGCGGGAGTTCCGAGAGGACACATGTTGAATGCATCACCTTTTCGAATATTCGAGCCCTCATGGCAGTCTGCATGCAATTAGACACACCCTGTGAAGCTAGAGTGACCATCTCTAGCCACTTCGGGCCCCAGGTGAAAGGTATTTGTGGTTCGGTTCTGCGAATGTCAGTCAGGATCTCTGTAGCTTCAGTGGGGCCTACTGACAGCGGAAGACGGAAGCGCTGCCAAGGGCATTTGGATGCTTAAAGCTGGCGGTCCTCCTAAAGACTTCCGCCTACGAAAGGGGTTTTGTGGCGCTACACCCGTACAGAAGTGCCTGTTGAACCTTCCCTTCGAGCTGATTTCTCTGGCAGGAGAAGAGCAAGAAGGAGAAGGGTAGTCAGCCCACAAACCCAGAAGCAGCTCGCCGGCAAGAAGTTTGCATCTCCAGAACCTCCTAGGGACTGTCAGATGGAGGTAGGTGTGTTGACTGTGGCCAGGTCCAGGGCGGGCTTCAGTGATTGCGATGCTCACTGCCACGGCAGAACTTACAGTAGAGTTTCGGGAACCAGCATGGGAAATATTTTTCGTTTGAGCAATGAGTTGGTGGTATATCAGTAGAAGTACCTGCTTCGATGTAAGATCAATATCGAAAGGAATCGGTGTCCAAACACTCAATACCATGTTTGTTCTCTCGTCACGAGGCGCTTGAGGAGGGGAACAAGATCACCGAGAAGATTGTGGTGAAGAAGCAATTTTTTGCCTCCAGCAAGGAGCCGTCTATGGTCAGCATGAGAAGGTTGAACGTTTGAACGCAACAGTGCATTCGCCACCTCGGAAGCACAGCAATCTGACCAAAGCGACCAAAGTGCGAGTGTCCGCAGTTTAATTCCGGACAATCGGGAAAGTAACAGAAGATGCCTCCCAGGCAGGCCCACATGTGGATCTAGGTTTATGACGTGAGTGAGTTTTGGTGCTGGCATGTGGACATGTTGGAACCTGTAAGCCTCAACGTCACAGCTACGGAAGGAGAGGGCCATGGACGCGTTCCAAGCTTGTGTCCACTCAACCGCTGACCGGGCAGAGGCTCGGTGACAGGGCGTGCACGTGGGCAGGTGTGTTCCCTGTCTCATCCTGCCTCCAGCAATGAATCGCAATGTCATACAGCGCCGCAGTGAGGGTTTGGGAATGGCCGAGAGCATCCATCAAAGTGCAGGAATATGGCTTCCAGACCTTGAGCGCCAGCCTGAAGGAGGGCGGCACCAGGGACCGGTATCGCAGCAACAATGGCGAACTGCCCCTTGGTTCTCACATGTGGGGAACGAACATGCCTCCAACGCAGTTGCCCTATAGGGTCAACACATGGGGTGTTTGCACATGTGACGGAGTCAGGTACATCTCGCTGAAGCTCAAGACAGTCGTTTCCAGCGCCGACAGCCTCTTCGCGCTTGTCGCATGAATGAATCGGTTCCTGCTGACTAGACTGTATTTCACTGGGCCATTCCGCATCGCCTCCAGGTCTTGACTTTTGGGGAGAACTCCATTTCGGATTTTGCGTAGCGTTCGAACAACTCCTGAGGCGTTGGATGCGCCACCGCCGGTCAACATGGGCATCCGTGAGACCACGGAACTCAAGAGGACCCTGCAGTTGCTGTCGCTGCGGAGGGATCATGAGTAAAAGAGACGATCGTGAGCTGCTGCCATTTTTTGCATCGGAGAGCCGAAAACCCATGTGGCAAGTGTTTGTTGCAGCTGTGTGCCGTCTGCAGGACCCCAGACATCCAGCAATGCGTGGACGAAGCATGGGAGGTGAAGGTGAAGTTGCTGGATGATGCCTTGTTGTGCTGCATGTACGGTTTCAAGTACCTCATTAGCTGGCGTTGCTGGCCGCTTTCACTTTTGTACTTCCTTGGACTGCTTGTGTGCTGCTACAAGTCCTACTGGTGGTGGGCAATCATACCCTTCCTTCTCTCAGTCTCCCTAATCGTCAATTCCTTCCCGGAGCAGCGCAAGTACATGACTCGGGGCGGTCAGAATGCAGACCTCACAGAGGAGGGCTTCAAGCACACAGCTTCTTGGCGCAACACGGACGAGGTTCAAAAGTTCATATTGCGCCTGCTCACGGAAGACATGAAGGCGAGGCTGGACAATCCGCGCAACTCCCACAAGTTGCGCGCCTTCGCCGCCCAGTGCATGCGTGACGGCGTGCCGACGGTGTCGCTCTCAGAGCTGCGCCTCGCACTCATGGCAGCGCCGTTTGTGGTCGCTGAAGACAATGTTGCGACCTTCCAACGCAATGACCTCGTGTGGGTAGATGGCCGTGAGCGCGGCACGATTCTCGAGCTGGCCGCGCCTGAAAACGTAACCGTGGAGCTCCAGCCCACGCTGTTGGATCCCGAGAAGCATGTGAAGGTGGTACACCAGCGCCAGCTCACCAAGAGGGGCGAAAGCATCCCGAACCTTCCCAAGTGGGCCTCCGACTTGGCCGTGTCCTCCGCCATGGTGCAGATCTACCCTCCACTTGAGGGCATCCGCCACGGCTTGTTGCCTGTGATCGCCACGGTAACGGACATCCTCACATGGAAGAACAAGTCTGTGGCCGTTACTTAGCTCAACTAAGTTGCTGCATCCACCGTGGTCAGCGGTATGCCGCCCTGTCTTTGCCCGCAAGTCTGCTCTCAGCTGCTCGGGTCTTGGGCTGGGTCGAGTGTAACAGCTGTGGGGCTTCATTGCGCTGAGGTCGGATTGCTTGTTGTCCTGCTCTCGGTGGCCGCCCTTTTCTTCTGGGCGGCAATCATGCTTCTGGGCTGGCTAGCAGTTGGGCTTGTGTCGTCGAATCGCTCATGGCACTGACGGGCCGGAAGGTTTTGCGTCATGCAGAGCGGCTTCTGTCAATGTCCCCTCGATTGTGTCTGGATTAGGAAGACATGAAGTTGTCGATCCATCGCTATTGCAGCTTGAGGCATGTCATCCACAGCAATGACAAGGGGAAGCTCTCTTACGCTCAGGAGGTCGTCATCTTGGTGTTGAGGAGCGTCTGAAATCTACTCCGAATCAGTCATTATGAGTCAGAGCGTTTGCCTCTTCAAGCTTTGGGTCGACCTCCTTCTTATTCCTGAGGGTGCTTTGACAGCATTGTCCGACCACGGTGAAGTATTGACTAAGTATTGACAAATAAGTACCAGGAGCATTCATGATTGGCGTGGGCTACAGCGGTTTCGCGATTCTTAATTGAGTCTTGAAACGGAATCGGAAGCCGAGATACAGAGCTGGGGCAGGTAAAAAGTAGACTCCCGAGCTTCTTGGAGGAGCCTTGACAACTTCATTGCGGCCATCGTGACCATGGTGATTTTCCTTTTCCAGGTGTCAGCCCATGAAATTACGAAATCCCGCCGAGTAGTACCGAAGGGTGAAGTTCACACTGCCAAAGTAGAAACAGCAATGCTGACCAGGCTTGGTGGATGACACATTTCTCTTCCTTCACGAAAATCATGCAGAGACGTGGACATCAGACGCTTTGGCGGCACCGTTAGGGCTGCTGCAGGTGTCTGCTTGCCTAACTCTAGATGTTTGTGGAGATGCATTCCTTTCAGGCGCCAAGCTCCTGGCATTTGGAAATTTTACAGAGAGGACCAAGAGCAGTCCGAGATGCTCAGGTGCCCGAGCTGCCAAGTAATACCGCGGTCTTAGGTATCAGGGTTGATAGAGTTCTGTGAAGCAAAGCTTCCGGCAGAAATCTGTTGGTGTCAGCCGCATGCAAACAAGCTACGGTTAACAACCGCTTCCGGGGTCTCTGTACACCTTCTGCTTCAGGAACATCCTCGCCAAAGAGGCAGAAGAGTACCCTCACGGCATGTTCCACCTCCCGCACATGAGCGGTGATGCCAGCGCTGCTTATGCCGCGCATTACAACCGAAGCTGATGATTCACTCCTGAGGTCCTGAAGCGTAGGTCGTTGCTTGTTGGGTAGGTCGACCTAGGTGCTGCAAGAGACTTGCTTTTTTCTGCAAAGGCAGAGAACTTTCAAGGGCCCCAAATGCGCTAGCTTCTGTACGATAGCGTTCTTTGTTGTCCACCATTGACTGTTGAGTAAAGGGTCCAGGCGTCCTATAGGTCTCTGGCCTACTTCGGGATTGATCGCACCCCGCGTAGCAGTCTTTGTGTTGGACTTCATGTGCCAGCTTGGTTCAGATATAGGTTCAAATATGAATTGCAGTTTGTGGTGTCAAACGAATGGTCAAATGCTTTTCTTATGCAGTAATTAAGCCAGCCACTAATACGTGGCGATTGTGTCACCCTGACATTCCAGAACTGCCAGAGGAGAACTTGAACAGAGTGGGATGAGTCGCGAAAACCACGTGGGATTTGCACATACAACATGGCAACTGACGTCAGGCTAGCACGCTGGCTTTGAGCAGGTTGTAGCCGGCTTTGACTGACATGAGCACACGCAGCTTCCAATAGCTCGCATTTGCATGCTTACGGATTTTCAGGCACACGCAAAGATGGGTCACATCACCTTCACCGTCGTTTGCTCACCGTCGAGACAACGAATCACGATCTATTGATTTCGGAATCTCGGAGTATGAATCGCACTGCAGGAAGTACTATGAGATCTAGAGTCTAGAGCTTTCCAACGTTTGGTGAAGTAGCGAGACTTGTGCACGACTTGGTGGCTTGGTACCGAAGGGTGCGTCATTGTCATGGTGCATCCAGCCAGAACTGTCCATGCGCCGTGCACCACTGCAAAAAACACTAATGTGCATTTATGCGCCGTCCGACCGGCCCAGGCATCGCTCGGCCTGCGGTGTGGCCGAGTGGGGCCTTGTATTGCAGATCGGCAAGGGATGCTTCCATGTTCCGAACAAATAGAAGGCCCTAAGCCTAGCCATAGTCATAGTCGTAGCTCGCTTAACAAGACAGCTCTCGACAGCACCATGCAACCCAGCAAAGCCTACTGACCTCAACCCCGACTTCGCACCCTTTGACGCCAGCACCAGAATATTCCAGTACCCTGATATAAAGCGTGGCACGGAACTTCCGCCCGCAGCCATGGCACCTACAGCCAGCGCGTGGGCGACCCACGTGGAACTTGCTCACGAGGCTGCCACTGAAATTGGTATTGGAAGTGGTGGTGATGCAGATGTGCACCCTAGCACTAGTAACTGGGGACTTGTTCTCCAGCTTTCCGACGTGGATCAGGGGGAATCTGCTTGAAACTCTTGTGCTCAGGTGACTGGCGAGCCTCTGAAGTTAGGGGCACCTCTCGGTCTGGAGGCTTTGCCGGACCCCATTGGCCTTCTGAGGCCTCAGCTGCGCTGGTCTGAGCGGGGATAATGGTCCATGATTGGCGGATTGAGTCGATGAGCTTGAGTGTACTTCCAACTGTGAAACGTGCGACAGACAGTTGCCGGCTACAGCATTTGGCTTTTGCCCAGTTGGCTGTTAACTGGTAATCCCCGAAAGACTTTCTGCAGGCTGAACCGTGGAGTTCCGGACTGCGTCCGAGCAGCCGCCCGCAGCGATGAATTCTGCACTGTGGTGCAGGTGCTGCATGTCTGTCCTTTTGAACCGTGCGTCAGCTTCAGATTTCGGGTTCAGGGCTGGGAGATTCAGAGTGTATCTTTTGTCGATAAACCGCTTTCCCCACTTGCTGCATGGGCCGCACTACGGCACAACACACTGCGCCCTGCAATCAATATCTCTAAAACTCGAAATTACGGAGCCCCTTTCGGCCCATTCTCCCCAGGAGCCTGGTGCAGCCACTGCCTGGGTGCCGCGACGGGTTTTCTCGAAGGAGCTCGTGCCATGGCTGTATGGCTCTGGGGGATCTGCTGCGTAGCTTTGGGAGATCGTGTGTCTCGCGTGTGCGAAGTCAAAGAACTCACCGGCAACTGAAGATCCCGCCAATCAAAACCCTGCCAGTGCCAGCCTCCATATAATACTGTATTAGTATACTACATTATTATACTATATTGTCATACTATATTAGTATACTATAGCAGGTGCAGTCCGAGGGTGCAGAGGAGGTGGTGCCTGGCCAGTCCTGGTGCGCCTTGCGCTTGGAGCCGCGGTCGTTTCATGGCTTTGCTTATCGGCAGGTTTGGGGCTTCAGGCTCTAGGGCCTCGAGTGTTTCTGCGAGGAGAAACCGCTGCCGGTTTCTGGGTTCAAGGCTTCTCACTCGTTTGATGGAGCATATGGATGTGCAATCCTTGGTTGGGTGCGGCAAGACTTCTTATGCACAGTTGTGCAGCGTGCGTGCAAGCTTCTGTGGGGGTGAGGGTGCTGTTGGGTGCTATGGGCAGTAGACAAAGGATCCGGGGTGGAGGGACGAGACGGGACGGCACAGCTCCCACAAGTCCCAAGCTGCTAAAGTTCGTGCAGCATAGTGAACATGTGGTCGGGAACGGCAACACATGGCGCAGGCCATCCTAAACGCTCTCAGAGCTCCGCTCGCCAAGCGGGCTGAGAATTGAAGCGGAACAGAAGATCTCACAGAGAAACTACCGGGGCTCAACTCAGGCCTTTTAGCTTCAGCCTTGCTGCTGCGCTCTTCAAAACGCTGGCAGCGGGCTCTGTTCGTGCACGGCTCCTCTCGGCATCGGGTCCCGCGACATGGCACCAAAGGGCGAAAAGTCCTTCTGAGAGGAAGGCCCTAGCTGTGTACGCTGGTGGGTCCAGAAAGAATTTTCGTAGTCAAGCGGCCGCTCTATGAAGGCAGGACATTTGTATGTTGCGCCTTTTTTGGGGGGCCCAGGGCACCAGCCGAACGTTATTTGGAGACTTTCGGACAGGAGCTCTGGGGATCATGTCGGGCTTTGAATCGCTGAAGCGCAGCTAGGCCGGCCAGGAGATCGTTTCATGTTGGTCACACGGTAAATGGCATGTTCTCGCAGAAATCATTACGCCATTACGTCACGCTGCACGCATTGAAATTCTCTCTCAATATCTCAATCACCCTCTCTCTCTCTCTCTCTGTAAGTCTGTTTATGTGCTGGATATATACAGCTTTTGTCAGTTTCATTGATGTGTGTATGCCGGCAGCAGCACTGTACGAGTTTCCTCGCTTCAGGGCATGCTTCTGCAACAACCTCAGACTCTTGAACAGGGCTGTGTTTGCTCTGCATAGGGCCTTCCATAGATGCAATGTGGCGAGTTGGTGGCTGAGTGTGAAGGCTAAGTTAGGGGATGTTAGGGGTGGAGCACCGTTGGGATGTAGGAGCGATGCCTCAGGGCAGCTGGACTGCTCAGGAAGTGATCTTGATTCCGGAAGCCGATCTCTCCACTGCGGTTGCCCTTCTAGTACAAGACGGCCACGCGCTGTGGCCGTCCACTCGCATCTCTTCACCAGTTTGGCGCGATGTCAGTGCAAGCGATCCCGTTGCAAAAGAGCTGGCAGGTGTCTGGAGCCTCGTTCAGAGGGAGCAGCCGTTGGGTACCACAGTCGCAGAGTATACCGATGGTGACGGGCCCTTGCGGCTGCAGGCGCCTTCCGGCCTTTTCGTGGAGCTCTGCATACCACGCAAAAAAGGCCACGACACAGAAGAAGCCAGCTTCGGGGGCTACTGCCATGTCGAAGCAAATGGCCGGCATCTGCAGTACATGCAACAGAGGCGGATCGACTTCCAGCCACCGCACGTTCCTCGCCATGTCAGTATAGACTCTAGTATTACTAGCCATTCTGTTGCCTGCAGTTTAGTGACTTATTGTAGCGTGGACAAGACTTATCCCAAGCAGCACGATATCCGGCACATCTACAGTACTACAGTCTGCTATCGGCTCAGGTTGAGGTACCATCCTTTGTGGTGACGCCAAGTGAAGCCTCGATTGAAGTCACGGCCGTCGGGGCCAATGAGTTTCGGGAGCTCTGGGCGCGCGTGGGCGCAGCTGGGACGCCAGAGGTGGCTTCTTTGGAGCTGCAGTCCGAGTCCCCCAAGGGCAAGGTTGCTCGGTATGGGCTTTGGATTTTCATAGGAATGCGCTTTGCAAGGATCCTGGGCCCTTCACAGGGCCACGGAACTGTGGCCAGCGCCTATTGCCAGTCTTTGGCGCAATTGCGCCAGATCCGCGGCAAGTCTGTGGTTGACAAAGAGCTCAACGACCTTTATGAAGCTGTTTTCGGAGTGGTAGAGGAACCGGGTCGCCTGAGGACTTGCAAGAAGTCCCGGTCCCCTGGCCAAGCAGATACTATGCTCTTCGATTACACTGACCCGGATACTGGGAAGGTCACCGTCGAGTCGGAGACCGTGGTGTACGAAGCCCCTGGTGGCAGGACTTTCCCGGGCGGCAGTGTCGCAGGCTGTTGTGCCTATATATCGCAGCGCAAGATTAACATAATCGACTAAAGTCTTCGGGATTGGCCGCCAGACTTTTGTACCCCCGTGCCCGTGTTCAAGAGTCGGTCTGTTACAACCTCAGGACAGAGACATGGCGCATTGTGGACTGGACCTTTGAAACTTACCTGAACAGTGTGTGCAGGGCAGGGGACGCCATAATCAACGCCAAGCCCCTTTGTGGAAATATCTGCAAACTACCAAGCTCGCTCGGGGAGTACTTTCCACCGTCACCACCGAGGACCCATTCACCCGCGCTTCCTCTCCCGCTCCTTCACGAGCCACATCCCTGGCACCGGACTCTGAGGCGGGGAGTTGCTTTGCGTTGTGGCACCCGGCCAATAGTTGTCTTTTTGCACTTGAGCTGACTGCGCCGCGTACAGGACCTTGGGCAGTTTTGGTGACAGCTGTTTGAGGGTTGAGGTTGGGTGAGGATATCACAGCGTGACAGATGCTTTGCATTGCTTCTGAGGATGTGGACTTTCAAATGCGCAATTTGATGGGTTTCGTTTATTGGTACACCAGACTGGCTGTGTGCGGGCAAGAGAGTAGTAGAATTTTCTTCCAGCAGCTGTTGGGTAGGCACAGTGCAGAAGCGGTGAAGGGGCCTTGCAACACTGAAAGCTGAGCAAAGCGCAACTGCAATGTGGACAACTTATAGACCAAGCTGCTGAAGTTTCTGCTGGGTAGACCCCGCGAACTCGCTGGCACAAACAATTTCGGTGCCAGCATCCACCAACCATAGTTCCCCACAGAAAGAGAATGCAGGAGGATTTTCCTTACGCTTCTCGTAGCAGTGGTCCCCTCGCCTGTGCGGCCTCAACAAAACCTTAAAAACCCTGCCTGAACCTGAACTTTTATCCCACCGACCACCTCTGCAGCAAACCCTTGACCCCAAACCTCCTCACTGGATGGCTGTCCACATGAACCTCTAAACCTCTGTCAATGAGGAAGAGCCTGCTGCCACCTCCATTGCCGAAGAGGATGACGAAGAAGAGGGAATGGCAGTCACAGCCCAGGTAGGGAGTCGCACGGGGAATACGTGAAAGCTTCTGTTCTTGGTGGGAACAGGAAAACTAGCACAGCATCTGTCAGCTTCTGTGGGAGATGTCTTCGTCCTCATCTCCAGCACTTCAAGGTCCTATGTTGACATTAAGGCTAGGTTCAATTCAGGCACCTAGAATGTACAACAGCCGTGCGAAGCAGGAAGAGCACACTTGCCAGCTTGCAAGTCAAGCAAGGACCTTCGCATTCTTGCTTGCGTCGCTCCTGCGATCGTGCATCGTGCAAGCCTGGTTGTGGACCGTGATCCTTGGACTACTGTAGGTAGTATTAGTAGGGGTGCCCCTTAAAGGGTAAATGGGACCTTATTGAGAGGGTCTATATCCCCAAGCGTCCCCCTAATCCTAGCTCCCATGGACCAGTTTTCATGCGGAGTAGGTGGTCCGTGTCGGCACGGGAAGGCTCTACACGACTCTCAAGGCCTATCCAAATTCTACCAGTAAGGCACGGGCTTACATACCAGAAGCCCACAGAGCCGTGGGCCAAGCTCGATCGATGTGTCACGCTTCCTTTCCTCCTATATGTAATAAGGCTAATGCGGGCAAGAAATCTGCGATTCTTGAACATCTAGTCACCGCGATGAGCTAAGAAGACACCGGCGAACCGTTTAGCCTGTGTGTGACCTGTGTGCTGCAGCAGGCTCACGAGCCTGACCCTGAGCGGGAGCTTACCGACGTCGGCTGTCTGGCTGCACATTGGGATTCAGGCATTTAGGTCGTAATTAGGGAAGGGGGGGGTGCACATTCCGAAATCGTGCTATCAAAACTCATTTGGCGAGAACGTGTCAAGCGTTGCCGACGCCTTGCCAGAGCTGTGATGTTGGGTTTTCGCCGCTAATACAAGTCTTTGTTGTTTCGGACCAGCCGGACCTATTACACTGCTGCACCCAACAACATCAGTTGCAGCAGTGGTAGGAGCAGGCCTGCAACACAAGAAACACGCGCACACACACACACACACACGTACACATACATATGTATAATATATATATATATATATATGTATGTATGTATGTATGTATGTATGTATGTATGTATGTATGTATATGTATAGAGTCAGTGCATGAAATTTCGCGGCACCTACGATAGTCTGCAGTGACAAAGATTGACGGAGGAGTTGCAGAATAAACGAACTAGCTTCATCCACAGCCTCGCTATCTCAGTGCCGATGCACTTTCTGTTCCCGCACAGCTTTGTCAAAACGGATTTGTAACATCTCGATCTCGAGCATGAAAGATCAGAGTACGCCAAGTTGTATAGACTGGTCGAAGAAAACTGAAGACGAACAGAAGTCCGTGCGGCGGAATCAGCTCGGCAGCGCCAGTTTCAGTTGTCCAAGCTTTTATCATGGCCCTTTAGGCGAGCCTTCGGAGGAGGAGCCTGCGCCGGTGGTCGAAGAGAAGACGCCCTGCTGGCAGAGAGCAGTTCCTGTTTCGCCTGTCGGCCCGATACAAGTAGTGTCATGCGCAAGAATTAGGCCGCAGATATGCTTTCAGGCCGCCTGCGGTCAATTCTGGTTTGGCTGAAGATATTCTCTAGATGGTCGAAGAAACACGACTCAAACCTCCCGCAGCAGAAACACGCAGATGTTGGAATTAGAACTTGCAAAGCCAGCAACGCATCCGGCACTTAAGCTTGTTCCGCAAGCTGAGCCACAAGATAAGGCCGGAGAGGAAGAAGAAGGCCAAGCTTAAGGGCCGAGAGGATGCCGAGGTCAAGCGCCCAGAGAAGGCAAAGAAGAAAGGCCGGGTCAGTTGTGCGCGCCTGGCAACTCTTCATCTACAAATGCAGGAAACTGGCGTCCTGGCGCCAAGCCAAGAGCAACAGTACATCAGCAATGCCATAGTTCTGTGCGGAGAAGCATGCTCAGTTCGGGATCACTAGACTCCCAGACTACTTTAAGAATTTTGGTGTTCTTCCCGGTATAATCGCAGCCGCGACCTGTCATGGCTGGTCTTCGAATCCTCTTGCTCCATCAAACGCTGAAAGCATGCAGAGTGTTGCAGGAAAGAAGCAAAAAGGTGCTGACGATGAGGAAGATGATGTTGCACAGCAAGAGGCATGACGTCCCAGTTAGCTTGCTGCGGTCTGTGTTTGCTCGTGCAACAAAGCGAGAGGTTAATGAGGAGGAAGAAGATGAGGAAGAGGACGAGGAGGACAGATTCAGACTCGATGCGTGCTTGCGCAGCTGAACTGTCGCGCAGATCCTGCAAATATGAAGCAATAACAGAAGTTCTCCCTATCGATCTTTCCACGAACCCTGTTTTCTACTAAATCCGCGACTGTCTGAAGCAAACGGAGGAATCGCAGCCCTTCCAAACCCAGCCTTGGCACCCCAAGCCACCTGTATGGTACCTGCCGAGTCAAAGGCCGCAGCCAAAAAGAAGAAAAAGAAGAAGAAGAAAAAGCACAAGGAGCTGCACCTCAATGCTGCTTTTCAGATTTGGAACACTGAGCAGCCATGCATATTCGGAAAGCACGGTTGAGTTTCTCGAGAGTGAAATGCATCTCGGCGCAACATATGTAGGTGTAACCTTTCTGTGTTTCGTTGGGGCCGAAGACCTCAGCCATTTTGGGACGGTCAGCGGCATGCCGTGCGAGGAGAAGAAGCACAAACAAAAAGAAAGCCAGTGCGATGAAGAGGCGCGGACTGGACACCTCAAGCCCAGGAACACTAATCGGACTAATCAGATCACATGCCCGTCCTCTCGACAGCATCCAGGAGGTTGAGGGCAGGCATTGGCAGGGAAACAGTTAGTGGCTTCTCGCCATGTTGGATCTATCCTATAGGTCCTACTGGTAAGGTAGCTAGGCGGCAGTGCAATTCAACACGTCGGCAGCCTGACTCAATATACGCTGAAGGAACTTCGGAATTCCAGCTCGCTGTCGAAACGTTCTCAACCACCTCTGTTGACCCGACTGACATGGGGTTCAAAGGATTAATCCGAGATATTGAGTGTTTGATAATTCATCAACTATCTGGCCGGACATGTTCAACATGGGGGGAAGGCAAGTTGTTTTAGGTTGAATTAGCTTGCCAGGAGGGGAGCGGCGAGTGCGAGGAGGAGGCACAGGAGGAGCTTGCCACTCCAGCTGCCAGCCACACCTTTGTTTAGACGGAGCTACAGGAGAGTCTTTCAGATCTCCGACTACCGCATGAGCTGTCAGAACCCCTGACAGATCCCTGTGCTGCGCACTGCTCCTGAGTTGAGGAGCCCAAAGCGAGGAAGGAGAAGAAGAAGCACAAGAAGGACGAACGCGAAAAGAAGGAGAAGAAGGATGCCACAACAGCCAAAGACCAATCTACTGGTCTAGCTTACTATTTCGGAGCGTTGCTCTTTGCGGTTTCTCTTCGAGTTGGATTTTGCGACCGGAATCGCAGCATCTACCGTTCTACTTGAGAAAGGCCCCACACAACTTAGGACCAGTCCTGTAGCCTCAGGCGAAGAAGTCTAAGACGCACAAAGCGCGGAATGCCTTAGCACAGGAGGATGAGGAAGAAGAGGCCGGTGGCCGGTGTCATTGCGGTATTCCCGCCAGAACAGAAGCACTCGGTTTTCCCTTCAGGCCCCCGAGGATCCGGAGTCGGAGGCTTGTGCCGATGAGCCTTCGGACGAGGCGTCGGGGAAATCCGACGGCGAAGTTGCACGGCGCCCATCTGCACCTGCTCGAAGGACGCAGGTCCTCGGATCGCTGAGCTGCGGGCCATGCGCCTGCGAGCGCGCGAGGACGCTGGAACTTAGGTTTTGACATCACGCATTGCTGAACTTTGAACGAATACCTCTTCATTCTTCATGAACTCTGAACCACCTGCTTGTCTATCGCATGGGAAGCGCTCAAACCCTCAAACCATGGAGACCGGCACAGGGTCACGCCGCCAAGGTCCAAGTATTGAACCATTGGTTTGAGCGGTTGGCGAGCAGAGCACCCGAGCAGAGCCCACAGTCAAAGCCAGGATCCCACACCCAGTGCCGAACTCCAACCCACTGTCTTTGGCGAAAGCCTTCTTGAGCAGTGAAGGACCGTGAGACGACACTCAAAACAATGCGAAAGTCTCGTCAGGAGGTGGCATCCAAAAGGAGTGTGAGGATTTTGGGTTCAGATATTCCTGCTCATTCTGTTGCAGCGTGTAACTGTAGACTTCCGAGTTCGGGTGCGAATGGACGACGAGACTCGAGTGGCCCTAGCTGCCTCAGCTTGTGAAGCATCGCGACACTCTCCGCTGAGGAAACTGAGTTGTGTTGTACTGCCCTAAACCCTAAACCCCTAAACCCTAAACCGCGTTGTACTGTTGAAGTCCGTTTCTGGTTGCCCCTCAGGTGGAAAACGAGTCACCGGAAGCGCCGGCCAGGAGTAAGGCCGGTAAGACCAAGGCAGGCTGCCTGAATCGTGCGGCAAGGCTCAATATGGTTTAGGGTTTGTAGGGTTTATAGGGCTTATGGGGTTTGTAGGGTTTATAGGGCTTATAGGGTTTGTAGAGTTTATAGGGCTTATAGGGTTTATAGGGTTTAGGGTTTAGGGTGATGCAAGACTTTCTGTAGTCAGCTAATTGCAGGTTTCACTTGGGCCACGCAGCGAAATGACGTTTTGAATTGGAAGGCCCTATTCACGTGCTGAGCTGCAGGCCAAGCTCAAAGAAGCCGAAGATGTGCGGAAGGCAAAGGAGACCAAGGACAAACCAATGAAGGACCACAGCTGAAAACTCATATGTAGACCTGGAGCTAAAATCGCGACAGTGGCTCTGGCTGTGAACCATGAGGCCAGGGTGGCATCCGCGAGATTTTCTAAAAAGTAGAGTGCTCTCACTGTGCATGGCTCGCATATGCTCGAATACTGTTGACATGGTTTGGATGCACTTAGAGGCGAAAGACTAGAGGTGCAACTAGATCGTGCCAGTGTTGAAGGAACCAGGAGGCCAAAAACGGAACGGCCATATGTGTCGCCAAATACTGGCCGATTCTGGCCGATCACTCTCGACAAGCTCAGGTTGATGCTTCAATACCTTCGTAATCGAACACACTTGGTGCAATTGCTTCTCTGAGGATTTCAACCGCTGCAGATAGGTTCTTGGTCCATGTCAAAGGACTACATGTCCGGATCATCCCAGTTGTCGGGTCGTGTAGATTTGGTAAATCAGGGTTGTTGCAGTGCTTTGGCTCAGCTGACGGTTGCGTGGGCGTTTGTGTAGCTACAATAGCTTCTTCTTCTACCGATGTAGTGGGGAACCTGTGGTGAGGCTCATGGTGCCCGGACCATTGTACTCATCGCCAGTTCTTGTCAACACGTCGCTGGGTCATCATGCGCCTTTCAGTCTGCTAAGATGCAAATTTGCAGATTCGTGATTTGCTGTGATGGTGGTCGATGGTGTGCTCTGGATCGCAGGACAGAGGTACCCCGCAAAAAGATAAAGACAAAGGCATTAAGAAGACGACAACGAAAAGGAGAGCCAGCAGCGAGGACATTCGATACTGTAGCGCTCGGGATCTCGACGCAATAGTTGTGTGTAGTGGTGAGCTTCATCTGACGGGGCTACAGTACAGAAGCTTGCGAGCATTGGCAAAATCTCATCAACACCACTCTATCTTTTCTTCTCCCAGTACTTGTGTTAACTAAGCAGGTCTCCAGCAGCTGCATCGGCCCCTGTCAGACTTCCAGGCTATCCACATCAGTATCCACATGAACTTCCCATGTAATGCTCAAGGGACGGGTTGTCATGCCGTTCAATCTATTTAGTTTTCGTTTGCGTGCCGCGATCTGGGTTCGCGCGACCCCTGTCAAACGCGGGACATACCATGTATGTAACATGTCATGAGGAGCCTCCCATGGACAAGGCCCCGAAAGAGTTGGTGAAGAAGAAAAGGCGGACGTGAGCCAATCCGATGTGAGCATCGCCGTCAGCCTGTCAGCCTCTGCTGCAGCAGCATAGTGTGGAAAAGCTTGTCCAGGTTGTTTATAGACACTAGCTACCATACTGCGGCAAAGTGGAACGAGTTCGAAGATTCTCCCGATCGCCTCGTTTTAGCACACAAAGACACCTTCTCATGGCTGATTAATTTTTCACTGCGGCTGCGCAGTGGTGACTGAAGGGGCGCCATTAGACCCCGCATTTGAGGTAGAGCTTGGCAGTGGCACGATGGCCCATCAGCAGCTTTCTAGTAACAGGGGTGGACACGTGGGCTCAAGGCCATGCATGCCGCAACTTGTAGTCCGAAGATCGGGACTTCAAGGGTGGCAGATGCGGTATCTGATGATGGAAAAGACACTTTGTCACATGGAGCTGTGCCACGAAACAAACATGATGATCAACGACAGGCGTAGAGGACCCAGCCTACTGTGGGTAGCATCGTGTAATGCACCGCCTCGACAAGTTATTCGCAAGTGGGGATTGCGGTGTGGGATTTGGGGTTGCAAGAATCCTGGGGTTCAAGATCTGCACGTCTCGGCCACAAGAAGAGTCGCCTCTTGAATCTCTTGAAGCTGATGCAGCTTGTCCGGCAACTTGCTTTTCAGAGATCTTCGGTTGAGACTCTCATGCTGGAAGTTCCAAGAACTTCAAGATTCACATCTTCTGAATTTAGGCCCAAGGCCGAGGTAGCCCCTGACACCTCTCCGGCCGTACTTGGAAGAAGCATGAACCCAGCCCTTGCTTCGCACTAGCATTTCGGTCCCTCGCCAAAGCCGACAGACATTGCTGAGCGGGAAACAAGCGAGTGCAGAATTCCACTTCCTACTGCACAACCTCAACCCTCAGCCCTGGTCCACGTTGCACCCTAATCCAAGCACCCTGACATACGTACCACTGCGCTTCAGACATAGCTTTCTGCTCGAGGGCGCTGTTGCCTTGGAAGATCGTGCAGAGGAGCTTGCCTTTCGGGTTCAATGCGTTCTAATGTTTAGGTCTGGCTCGGAGTTTAGGATGGGGGGTCTGGCATTTCCAACTCAATCAATTGGTGTTCCTCTGGATTCAGTTGGAGGAGCCTTACTGACACGGTTTCGCCACGAAGTCATGCCTCAGAAGTTTTGCCTCTACAACGGAAGAATCACACCTTTGTGATCAGCTGCGAGGACTGGAGCAAGGCGCCGTCCCGTGCTGTGATTTGCAGGGGAGGTTCACATTGTGGGCTTCTCGGAGTCGAGCTGTGGCGCAGTTAGAGCCTTGGAATTCTGGAGAGAACGGGAAGGCTTAGAGAAAGCGTTCAGGGGTTTGGGGGGAGCTCGGGGATGCCGGAGGTCTATGAGGCAGAACTGACTCCCTCCCTCCGGTAGATCAGGCTACTGTGGTGAGGCCCTCGTCCCTCGCATTGCATGCTATGTCCTGCCGCTCATTATGCATTTCAAGCACAATGCAACCCCAAGGTGTGCTCCAAGCGAGGAAGAAGCATCTGCCAAGCCGTGGATTCGTTAGTGCGTGAACCACATCTGCTCTACTTTACATACTCCGTCTATTAAGTCAGCCGCTGCATCTCCATACATTGGGCTTGAGGGGACCTCCTTGGAGTTTCCGTGCTCGAAAAACATTTGGGGAGAAAACCTAGATGGCCGATGTTTGGGGTTTGCTGCCGGGGATGCGCATGTTTGGGGTTGGCTGCCCGAGATGGTAAACAAAACGAGGGGACCTGCTAGTACATGGTAGTACCTCGTAGTACCTGACGGGGCGTGCTAGTATGTGGTAGTACCTGGTAGCAGGTGGTAGTACCTGATAGTACATAGCAGTACCTGCTTCTTGGCAGTACGTGCTTGTGCGTTCTAGTATGTGGTTGTACATATGCCTGGTAGTAGCAGGCAGTACCTGGTAGTCCATTCTTTGCTGCCTTTGTTTCCATTGGCCGCAAGCTTCCGAGGTGTAAAGCCGCTGTGAAACTAACACAGACCGACGCCTGAAGGCCAGGAAGTTGCTTCCTCTAACAGCAGCAAGACCCAGAGAAACAGCCCGAATCCGGCAGGACCCAAAGGTTGGCCCACCGATGCCAGTGAACAGTGCCAGATAGGGGGCAGTGGATGAACGCCAGTGCGGGAGCAAACATCCGGACTTCGAGGGCTGATGAGTCTTGGAGAATCTTGGAGATCAGCTTCTTAGCAGGCCGATGGTTTGCACGTGCTCAGGTTCATAGTTTCAGCTTGTGTATTATTCCCTGGCATAGGGCAAAGAGTGTTTGAGTCATATGTCAACCCAGCTCAACTTCTTCTTGCACGCCTTGCGTTGCCTGAATTTTGAGAAGTGTCGCATCAATACTGCAGTGCATGGCAGCACGCCTTACTTAATCTGCTACTTTGACGTTCTGCACGGCGCACACCTCGCATGCATGCTTTGCTTTTCAGATCCAGCGATTTTGGAGGCGCCTTGCATACTCATAGCGAATCTGGTCGCATTGTCTTATCATGCTATTGCCTTAGTATGATTTTCATCAGCCCACCGTGTAAGTATGAGCAACCGTTTGGTTCAGATATGGCCTAAACATGTCTAGAATCTTAAAAGCTGTGCATGAATGGCTCGCCATGGTGGCAAAGGGTCCTCCTCTTTTGGCTGGGCCAAAAGTGCCGCGGTTGTATGTCGCCTGCCTGTACTAGTTCTTGAATGTCCTTTAGACGCGGGGTCTGCCAGGAGCCATGGGCTGCTCTCGGATGGTAAGCACGGGGTGAACATGCAGCGTGAAGAAACTTCATGCTTTTCAATTAGGCTCTTTGCGTACAGCTGTGTGCTAACAGATCTAAGTGAGTTCCATGCCCAGGTGGGTTATGCTCGCTGTACATCACTTACACGCTAGTGTCCCTCGTGCCGACGTCTCCTGACCACATATCAGCTCTTCCAGCAACAGCTGTTTGGCCTCGATCTATGGGTACGAGGCGCCATGAAGGAAAATAAGCTGGAAGGGACAAGTGTTGTGCCAGCGGACAAACTTAACCTGGGAAGGTCATAACACCCTGTTGAATTACGACTCTTGCCATAGACTGTGTGTTTGAAGTAGTGCTTGGGCTGGGGGTCCACCCACTCAACTCAGAGCAATACTGTATCATTCGAAAAGCCTGTCAGGACATCCGGCTCTTTGGAGGTGCAGCCCATGATGACCTCCGGAGGCCCACCAGGACGCCAATGAATAATTTGTTATGGTCGCAGATTCCAATTTCGTCGAGTTTGTCTTATTGGCTGGCAATAAGAAGCAGCATCTTGTTGTTTCTCGTTTATCAGAGGCGCCGATCGATAGAACAATGAAAAACGCAACCGGGGGCATACCTGCGATCAGGTCGATCGACAGACTGATTGTATCGATGCGTTCCTTGTAATGATGCATGCAGGTCCTGCTCGAACGGCACTTCTGTGTGGCACAAAGGCCCTCACATGTACGCTGATGATGCTGGCTTGTCTGCGTGGTGCCCCTACGGCAGGGGTTTGTCGAAGAACGCCGGTGCACCGTTCCTGATCATGCTGGCCTGGTTTTGTGGTGGAAGGTCTCCTTGTCGGGGTCCTCCGCGCTGCCGCTGATGATGCTCGCCTGATTGGCCCTCGTGCGACAGCACCTTGTAGAAGATGTCCGGTGATGATGCCTGGTCCCTGCGGCGGAAGGTCTACACACTGATGTTGGTGGTGCTCATGCGGCTGGGCCCTCCTGATCTTGCCTGTTTGGCCTGCGGCGAAGGATCTGCGCACTGATGCTGGGTGGCTGAGCTTGGAAGCAGAAGGCCCCCACAATGTCGCGCGACGGTGCTCGCTCGGCTTGCCGCCCGTTTAGCGCTGCCTTATGGAAGAAAGCTATCGATCGCACTGATGCTGATGACGCCTGGCTTGCCTGCTTGGCCTTTGCGGCGAAAGGCTTGCACGCACACTGATGTGCGGCTGAGCTTCGTGGCAGAAGGCCTTCGCACGGATGCTGACGATGCTCGCATGGGAACTTTTGCTGGTTATATTCGCTTACTCTGACGCTACTGTAGCGCTCTTGTGATGGGGCCTCGTCGAAGAACGCTCTTGCACTGCCTCGTACCAATGCTCACAGCTCACTTGGTTTCTGGTGTGGCGGAGCCTTGTCGAAGAAAGGCCCGCGAACTGGTGCTTTGCCTCAAAAGGTCTCGGAATGATGATCCCGTAGGCCATAAACACGCCCTCGTTGCCAGAGCTGCGGCACTGCGGTCGGCAGTTCTGAGGCCTTGCATTGGGTCTCTTGCACCGTGGCCACGTTCTTGGACACGAAAGGTGCAGGCAACTGATGCACTTACCTGTCTAATCTTGCATTACTGGCGCTTATGAAGGTTTCCGGCTTTGTCTCCGAGGTGGAGGCACCCCCGGCGGGTGCTGATGACGCTCGTGTCGGGGGGGGGGGGGCTATCTGGCAGACTTTCACCACGAAGCCCATCTGACAAGCATTAGCTTCGCCACCTTGCACGTGTAACGGCAGGCGCCGGCAGCTCTAACTTCATGACGCTGTTTGCGCGTGCCGGGCGCGTGAGGTTTTGCAGCAGACATCATCTCGATATTTGCCAGTTATGTTCAACTTCTTAGGGGGGGTTGCTTCTCAGCATCAGGCCCTTTAGATTCCAGACCGCGCGTTGAATGCGCATCCGATCGGGGATGTTGTTCCATGTCGGTGTTACTTGTTACAGTAGGTGGGTGTTGGCTACTGCCGGCAGATGGCCGGTTCATGATGCCATAGAGAGCTGTGATGAGCTGTGGCTTTGTCCGGGAGCAGATCTGTCTTTGTAACTGTCGCAGCTTTCTCGTGGCATGGGTGTTGGCGACCTTCACCAGCACACTAGATTGCCAGGACTTGGCAGCTTTGTTTGGACCGGCTCTGCAGGAACATTCAGGAGTGGAACTTGCAGAGCACGGCAACTCATCTGCTGCACATGTGCGCATCTGTGGCAGCTGCAGCTCCCAAAAGGATGCGAACCAACGACCTGATGCTAGAGTTCATGTCTGTGCGGCATCGCTCGTCGGAGAAGTGAGCCTCGCCTTCGGTTTCAGCGAAGAGTAAATTTAAACTAAGGCAAGTTAGTTCTTAATGTACATGGAGTCATGAAGTTCGTTGGTAAGTCTGCGAGAAATAGGTGGGAAGAAATATCCAGAGGTGAGTGCGCCAGAAGGTAAGAAGGGACACCTGCGCGTGTGCGGTGAGTCTTGCTGCTTGTCGCGCATCCCTGTGGAACCGAGTCGCTCCATGCACTGTGCTGGAGGGCATGCAGATGGATTGCGGTGGTGTTTCCGCAATCTGGCAATCTCAAACTTACGAGGCATGGCAAGCACTAGCGCCGAGGGTCGCGCATGGAAGACATGCCTGCTATGTCAGATTTTCTGTGACTGGCCGGTGGTGCAGGTCGGAGCGTCAGGAGCCGCCCTGCGTTGGTGGGTGCAATTCAATGCTGCTGTCTCCCAAGTCCGCATTTCTGCATGGCTACCGAACGCGGCTATGGAAGGCCACGTGGATGGCTCGCCGGTAAGTGTGCGACGGCGGCCAGCTGTACTGCCCTTGACATCGATATTGGCGACGGCAAGCAGTGCATTCCAGGGGCGCGGGCCGGAAAGGATGATCGATTCAGATTACGATACTGAGTGGTTTGCTGGGAAAGGTGAGCAGGAGGCTTGGATTCTCCTCGAGCTTCCAGAGGAAGCCACGATAGATTCTGTCGCCTGGACTTGGTGGGCCCAGTCCGCGGCAGACGAGTGGGTACTGTCAAGCCGCAGGTATTTGACAGGTCCGTGGGCTGAGCGCAGTTCTAGCCGAACGATCTCTCAGCCAGACAAGTTCAACTCTGAAGTCAAGGTCAATGGCTGGCAGGAGCCTTCGAAGTGGATCCGGCTCCAAATGCAGAAGGGGCACCAGGATCCCTGGAACTTCGGTGTATTCTTTGGCATACGATCCTTTACGATTTTGGGCCGGGATGAAGCGGCTTCAGCTGGTGCATCGGATCTGTGGTGGGAAGGTGGCCCAGACTCATACAAGTGCATAATCAGACAGTTGTTTTTGCTTTGGTAGCGTGATGGGTTATTTTGAAAATAGCCAAACCAGAGACCCGGCAATGACTTTTGATCGCGGACGTCAGCACCAGCAAGCAAGGTTCAACCATCCCCGCGGGAATTTGGTTCGCTTTGGAACATCCCAGGGCCCGATGCAGCGTGCGCAGCCGCGCTGAAGCCCGAGAGCCTGTTTCCCCAACAGGTCCTGTTTCTCGGCATGTGTTCTTAGTCTTTTCAGGATCTGTGTGCTTTCGCAGGGTTCAGGCTGTCCCTTGTTGAGTTGCTGTACGGGACGTCAGCTTCGCCAATGGGCGGGCGAAGCTTTTTGCAAAGTCTGAAGCTGTTTACTTTGGCTACTCCGGATTGCACTAGATGTCCTAATGGTACCGCCATCCCGAACAACAGCTGCACTGCTGCCTTATGGCTCTTCCTACTGAGTACCTTGGCGCACACACTGCATGCCGACAAGGAGCTTCCCGAAATGGTTTTCGCGACAGAGTTGAAGACATGCTGTGCGAAGACTTCCGAAATCATCGAAACGACTGGACAATACTGGACACATGAGATTGCTCAGGTTTGGCGGAGGGCCGAGTGTACCCTTCAGCTCTCTGAGAAGCCAACAGGCCGTGTGCAGGCCGAGTGTCACGAAATCTTTGGCTTAAACTTCAATCCATGGGGTTTGCCACCTTGTCGTTCCTCTTGCTGTTGCAATGAAAGAGAGCGGCTCTCGATATGTCGTGTAGAATGTAGAAGGTGTAGAATGGCACATAGAAAGCACTGCTCTGACAGTGGGGAGCTCAAGATAAGCACAATCCCAGTCGTAGTTAGGCACTCTCTCGGAAGAGTATGACATATTGTTTCGAGTTGTATTGTCACAGTGCAGCTCGTGACAGCTGCTTTCCAAATTGTTTTGGTTCGCATAGCTTCCCATCTCTGAGGGTCCCTGAACAAGGCACTCTGTCTGTGTGTGTTTATTTGTTTGTTGGTTTGTTTGCTTATTTATTTGTTTGTATGTTTTCGCGCTGTCGTTCCTTCCACCAGCCAAGTCAAGCTCCGAGACTCCCTAGACGGGTGGACTCAACAGACAGCACGTGTCTCTGCTGCCGACATCACTCACTGAGTCAGGTCTCTGCATCCATGGGAGTCTTCGAGGACGGGAAGCACCTTGTGCGGCACATCATGGGTTGAGTCTTCCGGGAAAGCGCTGTGCGCCCGTCTGAAGCAGCCTTGGGGGTCAAGTCAGCTCCAAGCCCAAGGTCCGGAACCCCCCCCCCTGTTTTTGAGGAACATCTCAGGTATCCGCAGCTGCGCCGCATATTCTCCCGATATTTGGAATTGGTGCGGGGCCGGGAGTTCGGCCAGACTTTGCAACTTGGGACTGTCAGCATGGGCTTCCGTTTCCGCCCTTTCTCAGTTAGTGGTTTGACTGTTGTTTGATATCTGTGGCAGCACAAAGACTCAAAGAAGATAGCGAAGCATTCCAACAAGCTAAACTAGATGTCGCAAAGCTGGTGGTGAATCTATGCGCAGAGATGGTCAACAGCGACAGTTCAGGCACTACAACAGCTGGTTTCTTGGCGAAGATCTTCAGGATCGCGTGGCGCGAGTTTCTTGATGCTTGACTACCGATCGCGCTCTGCAGATTGCCGTTCTGGAATGAATTAGGCTAACAAGGACGACGTTCCAACCGGAGCAATGTGAGATCTGCAGGTACGATCTCCGAAGTACGCCCTGCGACGAATCGCAGAGGCAGCGTTGCTTTTCGCACAAGATGACGGAGGCCTGGCTGCCGAGCACAAGTGACATCAATGCAGACTAAGACCGCGAGTGGACGCGAGCAGGCGGCATGTTCGCAGCGCGTCGCAATCTTCAACACAAACCTGACGCTTCACGGCGGGAACTCTCTGGATGCTTTCTTGCTGCTTGGTCTAGAGAGCAGTCGAGTCTCCCTTCGAGCTTTCCACTCTTCCCTACAAGCAACTTGTCAAAGCGTGAGTCTTTGAATCTAGGTTGGATGATGGATGGGATAATGCAGACAGCCTGTGGGAAGTGGACAGGCGCCAACCTCGGGATTCTTCTCCTTCATCACCCTCATAAGTTGGTTGGAAGATGTATTGTACAGAGCTCGTTCCAGAGAGAAGCCATCACCCCACGCACTGACCATGCGCCGACCAGAACAAAGAAGCTGCTTCTGACAGGAAACACTTTCCAGGGGGCTTTGCTTCCCTGGTGCAGCACGGCGAGAAATGGGGCACAAAGATACTCGCAAAGCATACAGTCGTGCTGCCTGTATAAGGGATGATGGTATGCTTTGGTACTCACATTGCTCGAGCGCGCCGTACTGGAAAGTTTGAATGCTCCCACAAGGGTGAGCAGACTTTCCAACAGAGAGGGACATTCTGGATCTGTGAGATGTATGAGCCGCGGCGGCCTGTCACGAAAGCATGAAGTCAGAAGTCCAGTTTGTTGTAAGTGCTGTGTCAAAGGATGGGCGTGTGGATGTCGCCATTCGGAGGAGCTGCTACTCAACGTCCTGAATTGATAGACAGGTTTTCGCAGCAGGGCCGAGCTCGCTCGCACGCCCATCCCCCAATGTTATCTATAACAAAGTTCCCAGGCACTTATGCAATATCGCCACAAAACAGAGTGAGCTTCCAAAACAGAATTTAAGCAATCGTAGAAACTCTCGAGGCGCTCCCAGTACGGACACAAAGAGTCTAGAGGCAAGACATTCCTCTCTTCATGTCGGCTGGCCCGCGGCTTTCGAAAGTGTTGTTTTTGCATTTTATGACCTATGACCAACCATATGAGACGAAAACACCCAGGCAAGTGAACCTTGGATCAGCTTGCATTCCGTGTCCCTGCGGGCCTACCGGCTTCATCCCAACCTGGACTCTGAGAGTTCGAAGTGGGGGGGCGGGGGCTACTGCAATCAACGAGTCCGTTTGGGGTGGGAGACGGTGGTAAAGATGAAGGTGAGCTGTGGTTGCTCGAGCTTGTTTGCCAATAGCCTGTCACAGGCAAAAGCCACTTGTGATTGAATCTCGCCAACACACGCCCGGGGGGGGGCCGAAAGCAGCAGGATATGGTGCGGCAGGTGCCCGCCGCGTCCGACATGGTGCCAGCCATGGTTTCGAGCGTCCTGCCAGCATTTCGCGGGGCTCAGAGGAGAAGCATTGGACCGAGGAGTACACGGCGTGGTTCGGCTAGGGCTGCCCATGGCTGGCCCGAAATGCACATGAACTACGATTGGCGGCAGGTGTTCAGTGCTAATCTGCTCTTCGGTTAGACTTTTGACTCGGCGATGACGGTTGGGAAGTGACCGTAGTTGATTGTTCCTGATTCCATATTCCTTGGGAGAAAAAGCCGGTGCGGACTTGACTTCAGCCAAGGCGAAGCGTTCGAGGGGGCTTCGCCCTCGCAGGGCAGAGGTGCAATGGACTCCTTTCATGCATGGCTTGGACTGGCTCGGAGACAAACACTGCGCTTTCTGGCATGCAGGTTCCAGAGATGATTGTGGAGATTAAGATTATGAAGAAGATGATGATGACATGATGATGACGGGGGTTCGAGGGGGCAAGGGCAACTGCTAATCAATCTCCTGCTACCGATGTGGTGGCTGTATGGATTTATAGTGGCATCTTAGTCATCATCATCATCATCATCATTTTTTCCACCTGCAGAGTCGAGCTAGGGTTGCGCCAACACGATGCTCTTTGCGCTTGCTTGTTTCTCTTGGTTCGTATTGCAGCAGTCAATAGGGACCGAGTCGTGAGATTGTGACAGGCGCATGTTCTTGCTTTTCAGCCTGGGCTGGAACTGAGACGGCCTGTGTGCAGGTATTTTGCAAGCTTCCGGTCCGTTGTGCGTGACCGCATTGCTGAAGGACTGCTTCGTGCTGAGGATAGCAACAACAAGGATCATACCCGTCGTCCGCTACAGGGCCAGCGTCATAAGCACCGTGTGGTTTATTGAGCTCCTCTGTCTTTCCCACGCTTGCAGTCTTGTATTCTTCGGAGTGTCTTGCAGGGCCTTAGTTCGGTGGACGTCATGTCGCAACCTCCACCATCAACCCACGGGTCACTCAGCTCTCCTAAACTGCAGTGGACAGGCAACTTTCTTCTAATGGATCCACCTCCACGATAGGACTTCAGCAGCAAACTCGCCAACTCAGCCAACTCGTGGAGCCAGGATTCCGGCTCTTCAAGTTCGATGGCTTGGGCGGCGGCCTGGGGCAGAGTGGCGGCGAGGAGGCCGCACAGCTTCCAGCGAACCACGATTCCCTGGTCATAATATGATAAAGCCTAGGGCCCTACAAGTAGGGCTTGGAATGCCACAGGCAAGGCGGCAATTGCTGAAAGGCTCGTGTCATCCAAGGTGACTTGTCACTGCTACGAGAGAATCTGGTGTGTGGTTTTGGTTTGTAGCAGATCTGCTCATCGCGTATCATCTCTCACAGCATGTCATGCTGACGGGGCCTTGACATCGTTGAGGCAGTTTCTTGGACCTCAACAGGATGCTTGAGGATAGCGGCGACACAAGAGAGTCGAAATGACCCATGATGCGCCTGCCTGCATGCTCATCAATTTCGGAGAGCCATGCACCGGATGGCCTGCCCAGTCGAATCCCGGAATGCAATGCATGAGTCTCAGAGAAACGTGACAGAAAGAAAGGCCGAAAGCGGACAACTCAGTTGCGATGAGGATCGCAACTGTGTCGCTTTGAGCGCGCAACGTGTCAACACCGCATCCAGGTGGAACAACTGAGAAATCTGCATCGCGAACTTCCCACCTCAGAGCGCAGCATCCACTCCGTGCATGCAAACTTGGCACCTCGCCAACACATGGAATCGCAGGACCGCGACGACTTCGAGGCCATGCTAAGCCTGATCCAGGACCCAGTGTTCGCCCAGATCTGGGCCTTGCACAATTTTATGTATTCTTTGGATGGTTCTCTTCAAATTGCGAGCAGTCTACTAGAATGCTGCTCACGACTTCTACGAATTTCTGATGGCTCTTTCAGTTGAGTGCCTAGTGCACTGGTCATTGCTCTTCAGAGGCTTGACTCCCTGAAGTGGGTGTTCACCCAGAGAAAATCGGGATAAACTGGAAAGGACTGTCTGGGAGGTCTGACCAACTAGAATGCGGGGTTGCATCTGTCAGGCTCTCTCTTGGCATGTCTTTGCAGGATCTGCGATCAAGCGACAGTGGAGATGTCCCACTCTGGATAAGCAGTTGGGCTTGCATTATGTTGCGACACTCAGTACTGGTGGGATTCCTGCTGCGTTGAGGGCAAACTTGTTTGGGATGTAGCCGTGACGCGAACTATGAAAAGCCTGTGTCGGGGTTGCAGTGTCCACAGATCTCACTTCAAACGAAGCTGAGTGGTGCGCATAGTCACGCCGCAGGCTTGACCATCGGCACTTGGCCGTCTCCCTTCTGGCTGCTTTGGGGCGATGCCAAGACTCATAAGGTTTACCTTGAGCACTCCATGTCTCAGTCGGACAGTCGTGTAGGTTCTTAGATGAAATTTCGATAGATATCGTTTATCTTAGAATTATGTAGCTTGCGCTCTCTAGACGACTCGTGCACTAAAGTCGAACGGATGCTTTAGAGATCTGTGGCATGCCGAAGACTTTTGGTGTGCAACTCGAGAGTGGAAAGGGCCCCTCAATGCCATGAACAAAGGATTCTATCTGGCGAGATGGGCCAGACGTCGGTGCAGAGGGCGCCTTGCATTTCTGTTGCCCCAAGGGTCGGTGCGGGTTCTGGCAACTCTCGAAGTCTGGAGACGTAGAAGGCAGAGATGGTGGGAATGTCGGCTTGGAATGGCTCTCAGCTCTCATTACTTTTGACCGCGTCTTGGAGGCTTGGGATCGCCTCGGGACCGATGGCTGAATTTCCGCGATTGGGCCTTGCGCACCTTGGTTTGTTTAAGTTTACTGCCACTGCTACAACTGAACTGCTCAACTGCTGCTGGTGCTGCTACAAAGGAACGACTGCAACTATTGCTTCTGCTGCCACAGTCTTGCTTAATATGGGTCTCCATACAGTCGTTGTACTTGCTCGTTGTAGTCGCAGCGGCAGCAGCGCCAGCAGCAGCTGCTATTACTACTACTACTACTACTACTACTACTACCACTACTACCACTACTACCACGACTACCACTACTACCACTACTACTACTACTACTACTACTACTACCTGCTGACTACCACTACCAGTACCAC